TTAGGAATTGCTCACAGTGAAGTGGAAGGACAAACGGGATGTTTTCGCCCCCTGTCTTCTATTCACGCAGATACGACCATCCAAATTACCACAGCAGTTGGTGTTGTTGAGAAGCCCCTCTGTGTCCATGACTATAACCTTAACATGGCAGGGGTGGACTTCAACGACCAGATGATGAAGCCATACTTAGTTTCCCGAAAAGCCATACGCTGGTACAAAAAAAAAAAAAAAAAAAAAAAAAAAAAAAGAGTGTTTATTTATTTCAATTGGCTCTATATAACGCTTTTGTGCTTTACAAAGCAACTGGGCAAAGTGTATCCTTTCTAAAATTCAAGGAAGAGATCATCAGGGCCCTTTTGTATCCAGAAGGTGCTATGCCCCAGACCCCCAACCTAGATGCAGTTAGCCAGCTGCATGAGAGGCATTTTAAAGAGTTGAGGTTTAAAAGAAACAAAAAAGTACAAATCCCCCAAAAAATTAAAAATTTTAAAAACCAAAAACAGTTATAGTTTTTTTTTGTTGTTGTTACTGTTCTATGGTTACACTTGTACTGTATTATTGTTACTGTTTTGTTAACCATTGCTGTTTTCTTTGCAGGAATGCTTTCAGCTGCAGCACCGACTTATTTATTCTGACAGCAACAGGAACTTGCTCTCAGAATATACCTAAGTCAGTGTGGGCAGCGCTGTTGGATGAGATTTTTCATCTGCAGAAGCATGGGGGCCTGGGGTGGCCTGTGGGTAGATGGCCCCTATGCTTCGGCATATATATTTTATAATATTTGTTGGCATATTTCATGTGTGCCCGCCATTAGAAGTGGGTGTGTCAGGGAACAAGAAGATCGCCGCGGCGCACGAATCTGCACATGCGTAGGATCCCGATAAGACATACAGGCAGCTGGGCACTAGGACCCAGGTGCGCCTGTCACCAATGATGGCGCCAGGCAGGCACTAGGACCCAGGCGCGCCTGTCGGCGCCGGGTGGGCTATTTAAACTGGCCATTGCAATGTCCAAGTTGCCGTATGGTCTTGATCCCCTGCTTGTGTTCTGATCCTGTGAGTGTACCTTGTTGCCGACCCCCAGCCTGATCCTGATTACTGCTGACCGTCTCATGCCCTGACCCCTGGCTTGCCTTTGACCACTCTTCTTCCTGCTCCTGATCGTCTGACCTCCTGTTGCTGAACTTGGCCTGTGACCCGACTATACCCTGTCTGCTGCTCTGTTCCGTTCTGTCTCCACAGTTACCGACCCGGCCTGTCTGACTCTGCTACTTGCTTCACGGTGTGTCCGCATCCATCCATCCTGCATGGATCAATCCGTTTACTGCTCAGGTCTGCCCTGCCTCTTCACATCAGGCTCTTATTCAGCTACGTCCCGCTGGCGGTCCTCTCTACTACAGCTGGGTGTACCCGGGGGCCGCGACCTGGTCTCAGCCTGCTCCAAGTCCATCCCCACCATCAGGGGCTCTGGTGAACAAGCCGACTGGGGCTTAGACTCCGCGCCCTGGGGAATCCCGGACTGTGGTCCATAGAGCTACCGTTAGCGAGTACGTGACAGGGTGGATGCAGGACGGTATATTCTAATGGTGGGCTTACCACAAACTTTTTCTGGCAGAGATTTCTTCTCTTCTTTTTTTTCCCATTCAGCCCACAGGCTGCATACAAAAAACAAACAAAAAAAAAAAAAGAAGAACATAGCATAGGCATCATCTTGGTATAGTTTTTTTTCAGCTGGTGATGGGCTTTCATGTAAAAGCAATCCTAGTGGCTAATTAGCTGTAGGATTGCTTTTACAAACAGCAGGAGAAGATGCCCCCCTCCCCCGCTGCCTTACAAAAGTGCTAAAAAAGAAAAAAATGAAAAGGGACAGTGTAAAAATAATTTGAAAAAATCAAAATAACTTAAAAGGAAGTACACCCTCGCCACCCCCCCATTTTTGTTAACAGTATGTAAACAGCGGTTGCACCATACATGTGAGGTATTGCCACAAATGTCAGATCCAGGGCAGTAATTCTAGCACTAGACCTCCTCTGTAAATCTAAAATGGTATCCTGTAGAGGCTTTTAAAGCATTGCTATGGATTTAAAAAATGTATGTAGGTTGTTGCCATTGCACGGGGCATGTGCAGTTTTAAAGCATGTCATGTTTGGTATTCATTTATTCAGAGTAACATCATATTTTATATGTTACCAAATAATTGGCCAATATATTGTGATTTTGTGCATTAAAATGAAGAAAAGGTGTATTTTTTTTCAAAACAATTGCATTTGAAAATTCGCTCCGTGAATACTATGTGGCATAAAAAATTGCAGCACCCACTATTTTATTCTGTAGGGTCTCTGCTTAAAAAAATATATAATGTTTGGGGTTCCAAGTAATTGTCTAAAAAAAAAAGAAAAAGAAAACAGATTTACATGTAAGATAAAAACGTCAGAATTTGCTTTTGGGTCAAGTGGTTAAAAAAAAAGGTTAAAAAAAGCATTGGGGACACCCTGTGTTTCTTATGGGTACAGCAACTGAGTGAAATGAATGGGCTGCTGCACACATGGCATGCATATACAAACACACACGTGAGCCTACACTACAAAACTGGTCAGTGCACACCAATGTCTGTGCCCAGCACTGACTGATCAGATAGGATGACCTCTGACCTCAATGTCTGTGCGCAGCACTGACTGATCAGATAGGATGGCCTCTGACCCCAATGTCTGTGCCCAGCACTGACTGATCAGATAGGATGACCTCTGACCCCAATGTCTGTGCCCAGCACTGACTGATCGCACAGGATGACCTCTGACCCCAATGTCTGTGCCCAGCACTGACTGATCGCACAGGATGACCTCTGACCCCAATGTCTGTAACCAGCACTGACTGATCGCACAGGATGCCCTCTGACCCCAATGTCTGTGACCAGCACTGACTGATCGCACAGGATGCCCTCTGACCCCAATGTCTGTGACCAGCACTGACTGATCGCACAGGATGCCCTCTGACCCCAGTGTCTGTGCCCAGCACTGACTGATCGCACAGGATGCCCTCTGACCCCAGTGTCTGTGCCCAGCACTGACTGATCGCACAGGATGACCTCTGACCCCAATGTCTGTGCCCAGCACTGACTGATCGCACAGGATGACCTCTGACCCCAATGTCTGTGCCCAGCACTGACTGATCGCACTGTGACCTCTATGACCTCTGTCATTCATACAAACCTCTGAGCTCCTTCCACTTCTCCACCTCATACACCTTTATACAACTCGGAAACAAAAACTACACTTTTAAATGTTCAACACATTAAACTCTAAAACAGAGCTTCCTTCCAGCACCAGGTCAGCCTCACCTGTCAGTGTCCGGGCACCATACGCTGTGCCCGCCTTCCAGGACCACGTGATAGAATCCGGAAGGGTTCACCCCTCACACACAGACAGACACTAACTTCTTCGATCCAAACCGAACACTCAGATGGACCGGCAACACAAATCTGCCGATACAGCACCGACCAGAACACAGCGGATATCATACAGGACAATCAACGTCCCGGGGCGGCCATGTTTTCTGAGGGCACCGCACGTACTAGCCGTGGCAGCGTGCCATAACGTGATGCGGAAGTGTTCTGCGTTCCAAGCCTCGCGCCAGAAATTTACATCATATCCGGGCATTGAGGGCGGAATTTGAAATTGTAACCGCCAAATCGGGGTTGTATCTGGTAGTCTATGTGTATGGAGCCAGCGAGAGCCCTGGATGTTATGATGAAGAGATCTCGGCTATAGATCGGATGTGTGCGGAGCCGGGAGCAAAGTGCGAGGCGCTGGATTGCTGTAAGAGCTTCCAACACATCATTGGGGTTATGGCTGGAGACGTGTATTGTATACCCAGGGGCCTGGCATCAGTGGGAGGGACAGTGCCCCATCATTGGTGTCAGTGGGAGGAACAGTGCCCCATCGCTGGTGTCAGTGAGAGGAACAGTGCCCCATCGCTGGTGTCAGTGAGAGGAACAGTGCCCCATCGCTGGTGTCAGTGAGAGGAACAGTGCCCCATCGCTGGTGTCAGTGAGAGGAACAGTGCCCCATCGCTGGTGTCAGTGAGAGGAACAGTGCCCCATCGCTGGTGTCAGTGGGGGCAACAGTGCCCCAAGAAGAAAGGCAAGTGAGGGGCTGTGCGAGTGTCTGGCGAGCTGGCCCTGGCGGAGTGTCTGGCGAGCTGGCCCTGGCGGAGGGCCTGGCGGAGAGCCCTCACCAAACCAGCTAGCTGTGTGTTAAGCAACCAATCTTCTCAATGCCCCATAGCTTTGCAGGGCACACCTGCATCACCTCGGATGTCCTGCAGACTTCTCCCAGCACCAATGGAAGCCAAGGATCAGGGTGTCAGGAGATACCAGTGTTAGGATGGCAAGTGTGACATGAACTACCAATGGCACGTGTCTCTTTGACCCTCTGTGGACTCCAAGCTGTATACAGTGTTAGGCTGTGTGTCATTATAGAGATCACAGGGAGGGCACATTCTAGGATGACAACATTTCCTAAACAGCTAGACAAGCAGGCACAGTGTTGTCATGCAAGGATCAGATGTCAAAGAAGTTGCAAGGACAGAAGGGTAAAAAAAAAACCCACCACAAATGAAGGAAAGAATGATACATCCTCAACAAGTGTAGAGTCTATTATTTTCTTCCTTTTTTTATTTTTGGGTTTACTATCTAATACATTTGTTCAGAAGAAGCTGTTCTAATTAGAGTTCAGCAACTTGATAGTGTTTATAAAAGTAAATGGGGAAGTAAGTCAAATTATTATTTTTTTTTTTACCATAAAAAGTTGAGCTTTAAGTTTAACATTCTCTGTGATGTACAGTATGTAGTATTTGTCATTGCAAAAATCATGAGCAATACAGATATTTTGTATTTAAACAGTAATTCTGTATTTGGCCCATTGAACAGGCTGCTCTGACTGAGGAGTACGCGTGTCTGTCGTTTGTCTCCATTTTAATTTTTTTTGTTCCTTCCTTTAGGCTATGCAAACTCCTACTGATGGGGTGTCAACCCCCAAAAGTAAGTCAGTATTGCGGAGCAGCATCGCCCCCTACCAGAGCTCTAGGTACCCTCTTGGAAGCCTAACTTCTGCTCGGCGACGTTCATCATACCGCCTCGCATCCAAGAGGAGGGTACCACAAAGCACACCTATACAGGTAAGTTCTTCCAGTCCATATTACACATTGTCCAGTTATTTAATGTGCTAGGAGGATTTTTATATTTCATCGGTTTATGTTTCTTCTATTTTATTTAAAAAAATACAGCCCTTAACCACTAGCCTACCGGGCACTTATACCCCCTTCGTGCCCAGGCCAGTTTTCAGCTTTCAGCGCTGTTGCAGTTTGACAATTGCGCAGTCATGCAACACTGTACCCATATGAAAGTTTTATATTTTTTTCACACAAATAGAGCTTTCTTTTGGTGGTATTTATTCACCACTGGGTGTTTTATTTTTTGCGCTATAAACAAAAAAAGAGCAAACAAATTTGGAGAAAAAAAAATTTTCTTTGTTTCTATTATAAAATTTTGCAAATAGGTAATTTTTCTCCTTCACTGATGTGCGTTGATAAGGCTGCACTGATGAGGTGGTACTGATGAGGCTGCACTGGTGGGCTTTGATGAAGAGGCACTGATGATGCTGCACTGATAGGTGACACTGACAGGCGGCACTGCTGGGCACTGATCATCGTTGCCGAACTCCTCTGACAGCTGCCGCTTATCGGCAGTACTTTCCTCGCGCTGTGACAGCGTGAGGAAAGTGCTGCCGATAACTGGCAACTGTATTTACTTTGTGATCTGCTGTGTCAATGGACACAGCTGATCATGTGGTAAAAGGCTGCTGTGATTGGCCTTTTACCTCATCAGGTCTGTAGGACACAGCAATCACAGAGATCGCCGGGTGCACGCCCCTGGGGCTGCGCGTTCTGGCAGGACGTCATATGACGCCCTCCCAGGACTGGGTTACTGCGCTGTAGCTGTCATATGGCTATAGTGTGGTTAAAGTATAACTAAAGGCAAAACTTTTTTTTTTTTTTTTTCCAGTTTTGGACAGAGTGGAGAGAGATTAGAACATCTGTCAGTTGTTATTGCTGTGTCCCCATTAGGGAGATCCACCCTTCTTCTCCTCCTCCCCGCAAATTGTCTGGATACAAGGTTAACACAGCTAAAACCGAGATCATACCAGTTAATATCCCAACACTGTGTCTCCAACAGTTACTCACTTTATAGCTCAAAGTCGGACTCTATTAAATACCCTGGTCTTAGATTGTAAGCTCCAAGGAGCAGGGCCCTCCTAACCTTCTTGTATTGAACTGTATTTTTGCTGTATTGTCACCCGTTATATTGTAAAGCGCTGAGCAAACTGTTGGCGCCATATAAATCCTGTATAATAATAATTCACATTACACCCACGTATCAGACTTTATACAAGCAAAATGTCCTCCTTGTATATACTGTATAGAGATAGCAAATCTGCTTCATAAATGGACACCCCAAGCCTTATCCATATATCTTGAGACAGCCCAGCAATCAAGATGGCTATCATTCCTAAACCTTTATATTTATTTGAAACCTTACCTGTAAGGGTCCCAGCTACAGACCTTAACCTCCCTGGTGGTATTCCCAAGTGTAGCTCAGGGTAAAGTTTCAGCACCACAAGCGGTAACCCCGAGCTACACTTGGGAATACCCTGCAGCGCTGCTCCGGGATCTGTTCTGCACTTACCTTATCCTGCGCTCCCGCGATGTCCCTCCTGCAGTGTCCCCTGTAATGTCCTCCAGCCGATGCCAGCATCTGTCTTCTGGGTTCCGTTCCCTGCAACGTCAGGACGTACGGGGGACGGAACCGGCGGGAAATTTAAAAATGTCAAAAAGTTTCATTCACTAAATACACTAAAATCACACAGTATAACATTCCTGTATCAAACCATTTCACATACATTTTGTCCCGAGTGCTTTGTCCTGTGTCCTGCCTGCATTTTGACTGTTCTTTCTGCCTGGAAACTGAGAAACGTCCATGGCGTCCAAAAAGGTCAAAAGCGGTTTTAGACCAGCTAGAGAACAGCGAGAGTAAATTAGAACTACTTGCAGAATTGAGTGATAATGATTCGTGGGGAAATTCATCATCAGACACTGAAAACGATTTTGCGACTTTGCTCAGTGATGTGAGAACTTGGCGCTGTATTTCAAATTTCAGTGTTTTTGGTTTGATTATATTATTGAATTAAATTTATTATTATGTTTATTATTATTAAATTATAATTTATGATTTCATGTTTCAAATTTTAACATACCCGGGATGTTTACTAGACTCTTGTTCGGACAGATTTCAGTGAGTTATTCCTAAAAATTACAGGTCTACAATAAAAAAAATACATTTTTTCATGCAAAAAAAAGTACCGCTTTTAGCACAGAAATATGGATATAATTAGACTGCTAGGGAGGTTAAGAAAACTTCAGATAACTATATTTAACTGTATATGGGTTAGTGGTTCAGAAGTTACGAAATACTATTATGCCGCACACTTTAGACATTTTTTTTTTTTTCCATTATGTCTTTTATTAAATTTTCCCTTTAAGAAAAAAAATACATTACAAAACCATCACAAATCTTTTTACGTCATACATATAAATTTTATCCCCAACACACCCCTGTCCAATCTCATCTTATCCTCTCTTTGCCCTCCTATTAATCTAGTCATATATACAGTATATATAGATCTCTTCAACCATTTAAATTCTCTGGTACTACTATCGGGGGACCTTTTTTCATTTTTAAATATTTTTTTCTGAAGTTCTAAACTTATACCATTTACCCCAAATATTTCTAAACTTTTCCATTTCATCTTTCTACATGTAACAAAGTTCCTTCATCCTACTAACATATATTCTACTCTGTCTATCCAATACCTCATTGTTGGTGGATCCTGGGCCTTCCAAAACCTGGGAATTAAACCCTTTGCTGCTCCAATCAGATGATATAATAAACTGTTTTTATATTGTTTTACAGACAACTCTGTTCTATAGAAAAGACATACCCATGGATCCTTCTGGATAGATGTCCCCCAAATCTCATGTATATGATAAATTATCTCCTGCCAATATAACTGAATGTTTGGGCATTCCCACCATATATGAGCCATTGTCCCTATTGCCCCACATCCTCTCCAACATAAAGGTGATACTTCTTCTCTCTGTTTTATGTGCCACACTCGGTGTACAATACCATCTAGACAAACATTTATAGTGAATTTCAACTATATTCGTGTTCATTTACCCGTGCATTAACGGCTTGCCGTCCAGCCACTGTGGAAAAACGGCCACAAGGTGGCACAATCACGTTTTAAAACGTGATCCGCGCTCCCTAGGTTTTCGCGGGGGGGGGGCACGCGCGCGCCTCGCCGACCCGCAGGTGTCACCATTTGATCCCGGAGGGATCAATCATTCGATTTCAGCCAGTGATGTCCGGCTGAAGTCGGATGATCGGTCCCTGTCCTGTGTTGACATTTATACAGGACAGGATATGATGTAACTCTGCTCTGCCTGGGCACATAATGTCCCAGAGAGAGAAGAAGACATACAAAACGTGAGTAAAACAGCACATACTTACAGTTAGAACACACCTAGGTCACATTTAACCCATTGATTGCCCAACCCCCCCCAGTTAAACCCTTCACAGCCCTGTCACCAGTGTCATTGTTTACAGTGCGCAGATTTTTACTGATCACTGTATTAGTGTGTAAGTACTATGTGAGATTAAAAAATTGCAGCACCCATCATTTTATTCACTAGGGTGTCTGCTCTAAAAATTGTATAATGTTTGGGGGTTCAAATTTCCTAGCCAAAATACTGATTTTTTTTTATTTTTTTTTTTTTATTGTGAACAAAGTGGCAGAAAAGGCTTGATCTTCAGGTGGTTAGAAGAGTGAATGATGTGTGGCATAAACTTCTAATGCTGGGCGTAAAACGCCCCCACCCCCCAAAATGACCCCTTTTTGGAAAGTAGACACCCCAAACTATTTGCTGAGAGGAATGTTGAATCAATAGAAGAATTTATTTTTTTTTACCACAAGTTTTTGGAAAATGACAAAAAAAAATTTTTTACACAATTGTAATTTAAATAATTTATTGCTCATGCATGCCATAGGTATATGTGCAATTACTCCCTAAAATACATTCTGCTACTTCTCCCCAGTATGGGGGTACCACATGTGAGAGACATTTTGGCGGTCTAGCCAAGTACAGGACCCCAAAATCCAATAAGCACCTTCAGGCTTTTAAAGAGCTTTATTTCCTCATTACACTTCCTGGCTACCTATTACAGTTTCGGAGGCCCTGGAATTCCAGACTAGCACCAACCCCCCCCCCCCCCCCCCCCCCCCCCAAATGACCCATTTTTGGAAAGTAGACACCCTAAGGAATTTGATAAAAGCATTGTGAGTATTTTGCAGATCTCGTTTGTTGCCACAAGTTTTTGGAAAATGAAGAAAGAAAACAAAAACATATTTTCTCTTTTTTTTTTATATATATATTTCAAAACCTTGTGAGAAAAAATTAGATCTGCAAAATGCTTACCATGCCTAGTTTTAAATTCCTTGGGGTGTCTACTTTCCAAAAAGGAGTCACTTGGGGGGGGTTTGGTGCTATTGTGGCATTTCAGGGCCTTCGAAACTGTGATGGGTAGTGAGGAAGTGAAATGAGGAAGTTACGCACCTTCAGGCTTTCAAAGTGGTCATTGGATTTCAGGCTCCTGTATGTTGCTAGGCTCCCAAAAAGTCTCACGTGTGGTATCCTCATACTCAGTAGTAGTAGCAGAATGTATTTTGGGGTGTAATTCCACATACACCCATGGCTTTTGAGAGCAATATATCATTTAAGTGACAACTTTGTGTAAAAAAAAAAAAAAAAAAAAAAAATGTTTTTGTCATTTTCCAAAAAGTTGTGGAAAAAAATAAATCTTCCATGGACTCAATATGCACCTCAGCAGATAGCTTAGGGTGTCTACTTTCCGAAAAGCGGTCATTTGGGGGTGTTTGTACTATCCTGGTATTTTAGCACCTCAAGAAATGTGATGAGCAGTCAGAAAGTAAAAGCTATGTAAATTTCAAATTATCTATACCATAGTTTGTAGATGCTATAACTTTCACACAAAGCAATCAATATACACTTATTGGGATTTTTTTTTTACCAAAAACATGTAGCAGAATACATTTTGGCCTAAATTTATGACGAAATTTGAGGTTTTTGGAAATTGTTTGACGGAAATGAAAAAATATTATTTTTTGGGGTTTTTTTTTTTTTTTTTAATTTTGGGGGTTTTTTGTTTGTAGCGCAAAAAATAAAAAGCGCACAGGTGATCAAATACAGCCAAAAGAAAGCTCTATTTGTGTGAAAAAAAGGACGTAAATTTTGTTTGGGTAATATGGGTTTAATATTTATCAATCAGCTGCTGCACCTATAAGGTTCTAATGAGGAAAGTGACAGGATCTGCATCCCTTTTTAGATGTGATTTCCCTTTTGGGAGTATCTCTTCTTGGGGGCGCAGGTAGCCATATTGCACAGCATTATACAGAAAATTACAGAGCTGCAGATTGAAAAGGAAATGTAATTTTTAATAATATTCAGTTACAATATGACTTGAGTCGTTGTATACGCTATATTATTTTTTTCTAGTTTTTGTTTTCAATTTGCAAATTTTCTTCCCCACAAACTGGAGTTACCCTTTTAGATGATAAAGTGCTATTACGTGTGATGTCCTACATGCCTTCCCCTTATATCATGGGTGTCAAACTGGCGGCTCTCAAGCTGTTGCCAAACTACAAGTCCCATGAGGCATTGCAAGATTGACAGTTTAAAAGCATGACTCCCACAGGTAGAGGTATGATGGGACTTGTAGTTTCACAACAGCTGGAGGGCCGCCAGTTTGACATCCCTGCTCTATATGCTCGAAGGCCAGCAAAACCTTTTCTTTGTGTATACTGGTCTGTTTCTACCTATCTTGTTAATAAACATTTGTTTAAATCTGGTCATTTTATGTGTTTTCATACAAGGAATCTTTGTATTGACTGTTTCAGGAAACCCTTGATCCACAGAAGGCAGCTCTGTTGCTTCAAAAACAATGGACTATTTACAGCGTGACACCGATGTATAATTTTTCATATGACAAGCTAAAGGAATACTCAAAGCATCTATCTGCCACTATAGCAGCTGAAAAGCAGAAGGGTGTCGCTGTTGATCCGGGGTCAGACTTTAACCTGAAAGCCAACTTTTCCTGTCTTCCTGGACTCAAAGGGAAAGAGAGGGATCCAACTGCAATACTAGTTCAGGTTAGTATATCTGCACTGGACTATTCCTAAAAACTAAATCTGGGCAAAATAAAAAAAAATCTGTAATATTGCACATTTCACCATGTTTTGCCTCTAAAAAAAAAAATACTGTAGTTATTGAAAAAATATATGTTGATCTGCCAAAAACCCAGAATAAGTTTTCCCTACCCCCCATGCACATATGCCCCTAATGACGGCTTGTTGTGGATTGCTTTTACTGCTTGTTCATAATATATATGTTTGCTTTCATTACTATCCTCACCAGTTGCATATAGTCACCTTCCCTTTACTTTCCCCCACTGCTTTGTTCAGTTGCTGGGAGCAAAGGGTAATATTAGGAGCTTCCAGGTATGGGGTGCAAGTGTGCATGGCTAAGTAGCAGGTTCACTTTAGCATTGCCCACCCTAGCAGTGCAGCCTTTCCTTCTGCACACCACAATTCAATATTTTTTTTTTTCTTTTCACTGCTAGATTACTGGAAAATCCCAATCCCAGCTCTCCAAATCGGGCACAGAGGAGCGGATTGTGTGGACTGGTTGGTTCTGCGGGACATACACAGAGGAGGACATATTAGAAGTGTTACCAGAGACCTTCACCTGTCTTCCACTATTTCTTATTAACGGGTCAGAGTCATTCACGGCTATAGTGGGCACCTGGTTCCAACAGGCATTTGACTGCTGTTTTGGTAAACTGGTGATCAGGTCACATGATCTTAGATGGTTGGTGGCTATGTGCGCTGGATATGAAGTACATGGACACGTGCCCACCACAGAACTGGTATTCTCTGTGCCAGTCGAACCACACATGGACATCTCTCTTGCCATTCATCCGGAGGATTTTAAAACCCTGTGGAATGACATTCAAAAATCTAAGGATGAGGTGATGGTGGAGGAGGTTGAACATTTATTTCAATGTCTTTATTCACATTTCTTCAGACACTTTAAAATTCACTTATCGACGACACAGCTGGTAAAGGTGACCGTGGCTGTGGTCTCGGCACACTGTGACGGCAAAGTAAAGGTAAGCTTTTTGCCTTGTGAGTTGTGTAAATGTATATTTTAGTAGCTGTGTGTGGGGTGTTCAAAGGACCTGGTGCAAGGACTGGATGGATGGATAGATTGATTCCAGGGCCAGACAGCCAGTTTTAGACCTGGCCTACATGCTACACCCATATTTTAGGGAGTAACACAAAGCATGGTTGCATTACTCCTTTCACACCTCTACTGCAAGCAACAAATTAACACCTGGCTGAGCCCCTCATGTCAAAAGTAAAATAACTAAATTCTTAACATGAAAATTGAGTAACAAAATGTGCACAATAAAAAATGCAGTAACAATTAAACACCCGACTGAACACCTCTCAAATGAACATGGTAATCATCCCATTGTAACTACATATAATATAGAATTCAGGTGAAACTAATAAAAAAATGGTGATTGGTAAACACAAGGCTGAGCACCCCTAAAATCCCAAATGTACTAATGAAGAGGAATTCTGTGATGAACCAAATTGTATATAATTTTCATTTATGCATATTTACTAAGTGGTTAAGCAGCTGAGCACCTTACATGAACCACAAAGTGAAAATAATTAAACAATACTGCATACACATAATAAAGTAAAGAATGAATGCAATAATGTTTTTTAAACAAACCCCCAAGAGGGCTCCCCTCAAATGTCAGATACTCAGTGTACAAAACGTCTGTGATAAACTGATATAGTTCAAAAAATTCTTTCATATGAAGATTCTTTAGTCCATATTAAATCCACCAGTGATTTTCTGCTTAAATTACCCACCACTTGTGCTTCCTCCACCAGCTAGTGTGTACGCTCACCTCCAGTTTTGACCTATGAACTTTATAGGAACCATGTGCTTTTACTGGATGAATTTCCAACCTGCTCTCATCCAGAATCTGCTCCTTTTTAAGGCTCCTTCAGCGTCTCCTTCACATCGATCAATACTCAAAATATAAATAATATGGGACACTCCATAGTGTAGTAGATTCTTATTTTAATGCTAAAAAGACAGATAAAAAGCTACTCCACTTTAAAACCGGGTCCACAGACCCATACAGGCATGGTGTTTACTAATCAGCCTGGTGTTTACTAAGTGTCAGGGCTCCCAGGTATGACCAGAGATGTGTGACTGACGCTGGGAAACGCAGACTTCAGATATGGGATAAACAATATAATTTATTAACACTAACAATACAAACATAAACGCAGTGCAATACTAAACATAATACAGTGCAAACAAACCAAACCAACCACCCACAGATAACAGTACATACAAGCAAGCGTCGTCAGGCAGGCCGGGTCAATATCAATTGGGCAGGTAGGTACAGGGGGAGCAAGCGGAGAATGGTCGGGGTCACAGGCCAGGTTCAGCAGGTAGCAAGCAGCGTAGTACAGAGGGTCAAGCAGAGGGATGGTCAGGGTCACAAGCCAGGGATCAGAACAGGTAGCAAGCAGCGTAGTACAGAGGGTCAGCAAAGGAACAGAAACAGGATGCAGGACAGATACAGGGCCCAGGACAAACACACACCAAGGCAGAGTCTGTGGGTCTGGCCATCCCTTAAATACCCCAGCATAATCAGTTCCAGGTGTTAGCTGGCTGCAAAGTTGAGTCTCTGATTGCTGGGAGCACCCGCTGGCCAGCCCTGGTACTGCAGATCAAAAGGCAGGTGAGTCCCACCATTGCTGGCCAGTCCATTCCTGACACTAAGCACCATATTTCACTATTTCTCCATTTGTTTCACCTCGGATTGAATTCTATATTATATGTAGGAACAATGGGATTATGATTACTATGTTCACTTGATGGAGAGGTGCTCATTTGGGTGTCTGTTTGTTACTGCATTTTTGATTATGCACATATTGTCACTCCATTTTCATGTATTTATATGTTAGTATTTTATTTTTGAGATGAGGCGCTCAGGCAGGTGTTTATTTCTTGCTTGCAGTAGTTAAGTAAGGTGTGAAAGGAGTAGCGCAGCATCTGCTTATCTATATTTATTTGGGTTGTGGGAACATAATTTGGTGCTTGCAGCCACTCGCATTTTTTTTTTTCTATTTTTTTTGTGACCAGGGGGTGGCACGCATGAGGATTTATCCATTTATTATAAAGCACCCACACCCCCCACAACCAAACTGCTCCTCCTGTTACCTGAATTGAAGGGTGATTTTTGGTGTAGTTTGTTTTAATTGTCGTGTGTGGCTCCACCCTTACAACCAGGTCACTGAAGTGTGGCTTGGATTACATGACTACAAGTGCCATCTACACTGTTAGAGGGGACTCAATGGAGGATGCCAGCAGCAGGACGGGATGTCACAGCAATTGTAGTCCAATTGCATTTCTTCCAGCCCTACAACAGAAGCTCCACACAGACCCAGTGCTGGGGGTTAAACTTACATAAGAGCCTGTGCATTGCATTGAGTCACCCTGATCTACGTTTTTTGCAAAAAGTGAACTTGGCCTTTAACGTTTACCTCCCAGGTTTCATTTCATTTTAAATGGTTTGAACAAACTATTTAATTCACTTAGGGCTCGTTCACACTTGACTTTATTTCTAACTCTTGCCAAACGCCCCTATAGCATTTGACAGGCGTTAGACAGGCGTTTGGGAAGTGTTTTTAGCGCTCCCAAAACGCCCTATGTGTGGTTTTGAGACATTTGATAGACTTTGCCAAGCAGTAAAACCGCACCACAAACACCTATAATGAAGTTAAATGGTATTAACGCTCTGCAAACACCTGCTAGGCACCATAGACTTGATTGGGAGGCTTCAACTCCTCCTGACTTGACACAAGGGGGTTTATTTACTAAAGCTGGAGAGTCCAAAATCAGACTCCCTTCTGCACAGAAACCAATCAGCTTCCAGGTTTCATTGCCAAAGCTTCATTGAACAAGCTGAGGTTAGAAGCTGATTGGTTTCTATGCAGAAGGGAGTCTGATTTTGGACTCTCCAGCTTTAGTAAATAAACCCCAAGGCGTCCGTTTTGCCACAATACGATGCTAATGCTTCAGTGTGAACAGCACTGTGTGCTGCCATGTGCAGAATTTTCATAGGCGTTTGAGAAGCATTAAAAACGCCTGCCAAACGCCTGTCTGACGCCTGCTGACAAAGCTAGTGTGAACTGAGCCTTAGTGATGCAGTAGCTGTGTGTGCTGTATGAACTGTTTGTATCCTCATACAGTATACCGTGTTGTGTACCGGCAGAGGGGCGGGGACTTCCTATGCCACTTTCAGAACAAAATCAAGTCAGGCCGAGTCAGAGAGGTAGACTGGTGAAATCACAAACTCGACTCCTAGAGTACAAAGCTCCCTGTGAAAGGCTGAGCACCACGTAGCCCGACTCCTTTTGTTCTGGGAGTGGAACGGGAGGGAGGAGGTAGGTACATGCTCATTTCGTACCTGTAGTTTCACTTTAAGCTATTAATTGCCTGCTGCTGTTAGTATTGCAGTTTTTTTTAACCAAGGGTTCACTGAGGAAGGTGGGTGGGCAGCCAACAAGAAAACAGCCCACTGTGTAAAAAAAAAAAAAACAACTTACCTCTATGCTGCAGCATCGTTGTAATGCTGCAGCTGCCCTACCCCGCCTCCAAGCCCGAGAACTGAGCAATCGCATGATTGCTAATTTGCTCAATTCTTCCCTCCAGCAGTTGCAGCTGGCTCCAGCTTTTAGCAGAAGCAAAGCCAGATGTCAATCGGACAGCTGAGTGAATCCTGACAATGTTGTCAGGATCCTTCCAGAGCCTGGAGCTGCTGTGCCTTGTCAGTTGATAATGGGCAATAGCCTGCTATCAGCTGACTCTGGGTCACAGGAGAGCAAAAGTAAAGTGCACTCCTGTGACCCACAAGTGATACATGGCCAGAAAAGCTTAGGCCATACTTCTTTTCTAATATAGGTGTTCACTTGTTGCATCCCTTCATAAATCCCTAAAATAAGGGCTTCATTACTCCTTTTAGGATAATGAATGAAGCCATGCAAATTGTCAGGGCCTACTACATAGACAGCATTGTTCCCAAACACTACACTGATGCAGCCTGAGACAATTGTGTGCAGTTTGGAAACAATGGCACTATAACACTGGGCTGTAGCTGCGCTATAAATCGTCAGTTCTGAATGTACAGTTGGCCTGGAACCATAAAGGAAAGATTGCATGGCTTTGCTCACTATTTTAAAGTGGTTCTAAAGGTAATTTTGTGGGGGGGGGTTTTGTTCTTTTCCTTAATGCATTCCCTACATTTTAAAGTAAAAAAATATTTTGCCACTTGCTGAGCCCTTCCCACCCCAAAGTCTTACTTGACTCCAGCATCAATCCAGAGAGCAGTGGGAGCCATTAGCTCCTGCTGCTGTCAATCAAATCCTGTGAGGAGGAAGGGGGGGGGGTTAGGGCTGAACCATGCTGTGCATGTCAGTGGACACACATAGCCCCACTTGAGATCCAGTCGGCATGTGTAAAAAGAAGAGAAATACCTCCTGCGCTCAAAGGACCAGATATGGCATATGTGGAAGAGTCTTCATAAACCTTAGCATTCAATCCAATAAGGCAGTGCTGTGCATCCCCCTAAGCGCTGGGGTAGCCCAGCATGGCACTCTAAAATAAGAAACGAGGCGCAGAAGCCTTGCGCATTACCTCAATAAAAAACTTTAATCATAAAATGTTGTAGATATATACTCACAAACCTCAAATATACACAGGCATATCATGACCAATGGTGGTCCATGGTCTGGAGTGGTGCGTGAGTCCCACAAGCAAGAGGAAACTTGAAAATGGCTGATGCTTTTCAAGGGGCGATCCCCCTCTTCCTCAGAGCCTAATCATAATGATGTGCAATCGCCCCTTATACAACATCCTTTGACTCTGGCCCCAGTTCCTGTAAATGGGCTTCTCCCATTTGCGGGTGGGCAGACCTGGGGGGGGGGGGGTGTACACTAGACATGATACCCAACAACATATAAAAAAAAAAGTGAGAAAATTATTAGCTGCCAAATAAATCAATAATATAACACAAAAAAATGTCTAAAGATATACAAGCTGCTGCAAACACATAAA